CTCCACAACAAACCAGAGGTCCTACCGACGAACCGTCACAGTTCCTCGGAAAGAACTGAGAGTTTGCTGCGTCGCCTTTATTTGCAGCTACCCGCAAAGTAAAGTCCAGGGGAGTCCGGGAAAATTTCAGTTACGAACGAACAAAGACACTCCCTCAACGACATAAATACCGACTTAAAATAGCAACAGGCTTGGAACGAAGTATCAATACTTTAAGAAAACTTCTGCAGAACTTGACATTTCAATGGAAAAGTCAACATATTTTCAGAGCGTGTTCGAAAATAAAGAACATGTCGGTTTGCTACTGAAACTTGCATCCGGCTTCAGTGCGGATACAGTTTATGGTCTTAAGGCGCCTACGTATTTCAAGATCCTTTAGTGAAGAACGGACTTCGCGCTGAAGGCAAGCGCCCGCTCCACGTCCAATCGAAGTGGAGTCAATTATTGTTGCAGGAACATCTAAACTTGACGAGAAATGATTCAGATTTTACTCCCAGTAGTATTTCAGTCATAGGATACGCAGCGGAAGTGACCATGAAGATGAAGGCAGCACGTTCGTCTGAGTCGTCAGTGACCACCTGCAAGGCTACTCGTGCCACAGCCGATAGAGCAATCGACGGATCTTTGGCAAACGATTGAAATGAACGAACCTGTGGTGTCCACTGGCACATTTGACGACGCACTAGAACGTAGCCTGACTTTGGCGTGTCTTCCTTAACGTGGCGTATGATCACAAGCCGACCCAAATGAACCTGCTTGAGCAGCGGTTGATAATAACTGGGCTTTCGAGAGACGTGCAAACAGCCATCTTCAAATAAGGAGCACGAAAGGAGTTGTCGAATTTTTGGGCTTAACGCTGTAACTGGTTCATGCGTATCGGAAATTCGCCCGCAGTCCCCCAGCACCTGGGAGGTCATCCGGGTTTCCACACTGCACTTTTTTGTGGCTGTCGGGCACAAAAGATCAGACTTCATAAATACTTTGAAACAATTATTTGATCATCACCACTGGGGGGAGGGGGAGGGGGCGGGGGGCATAACACGTACGTCAGAGGTATTTCCTTCCAGACCCGAACTTTTTAACGTTTTGTTTATGCGTCATTCTTACCATCGTGTCTACATTAAGTCTAGCCTTACCTGCGCTTTCTTTAATTGCATCATCAACCACGAATTCCAAGAAGTTCTTTTAATTTTATTCTACGTCCTTTCTTTTTCTATCTCGCTTGTCCCCCGATTCTGGCCTCCCCGGAGCAATTTCGTGTATTATTCACGTAACTTCTTGCCTCTCTGTCGTACTGCAGCTTCGGAGCGATCTCTCTTCAGATGAGTCAGCATAAGCAAATGATGTGGGAGTTATTATGTAAAAATAAGAACACTTGCTCGTCTGTATGTACGGTGATTAGTAAACATGCGATGCATGTAATAAAAAAGAACGAATCAAGTGTAATTTTCTACCCAAACAAAAACTCTACATGAATATTTAACTTCTTTTATTTGTCAAGCTGTTCTTTTGTAAGGTGTCAGAATTCTTATCCGGCTTTGTGTTTCTGCGATTCTAGTTGTGGCCAGTCATAAGTGTTACTGGATGAGAGGATGCAGCTGGCTTAGGATCGTGTCCGATGGCAGCCACATCGAACCTTCTCTTTCTGAATTGGTGAAGTTTTAAACAAACTGCTAACCTAAGATGACCTAACCTCCCAGGACATTGCACCGCTCGGTGGTCTCGTGGAATTTTGCCGACGTTTCAGAGGTGCATACTGCCTTCATCATCACTGCAATGATTCTCAGGACGAACACAGTCACCTCTGAAACGTCTGTCGACTTCTGCGAGCCTGCACGGCTCAGTGTCGCAGAAGATCGTATCGTCATATTCGCCGTCGTGAGAACATGAAATCTCACCAACCGTGAACCCTGTAAAGCGGACTGGTAACTACGCAGAAGAAGAAATGCACTGACTTCAGTTTCTCCAGCCTTTGAAGAAGCAATCTGCTCTCTAGATGCGAATAATAATGATCAGAACGTAATCTTTATGCGTAGACCGAAGGTTATTAGCTCGCGGTGAAGGGTCTTTTAATGTAAGAAATTGTATAAAACATTCCTAAAATCTACTGAGATGAACAATCCACAGGCACGAGCCCAGTGGGCATACAGTGAGGCTTCAGTCTGCACTGTCGGAGTCACGTGTCATGACGCCTATTTCGTAATGTGAATTGGCCCACAAGGCGACGGAGCCATGAGGGCGATGTTTCTGCAACGCGGAATTGTTCAGAAACGCACGTGTAGCAGAGGTGACAGAGTCAGCCTGACTCCTCTTTCCACCTCAGAGTCTCGCGTTCTTTATCTGCCTGCATCGCGTTTCCGTATTCTTTTAACCGTAATGAGCTCTCGTTACACAGCGATACGATCATCGTACCATTTGTATTCCTTCTGCGCGTTGTCAGCCATTCATATTCTGGAAAGAGAACTCGGATTCAAATATGCGTAGTTTTGAAACGCGTAGCGTGTTGCTGCCAGTTCATTGTCATCTTGTTGACGTGTGATGAGGGTTGACTGTCACAGGTGTCTTCCTAAATTCAGATGCGTTTTACTGATAACTCCGCCAGGCCGTCTTGGTTTCCAAGACTTGAAGAAATACGGACTTCAAATCATAATTCGAGTTTTTGAGGATCTGGCTGTAGAAAAAGGCGATGCCTTCCCCCGAAACGCATGTACAAAGGACGACTTCAGTTGCGCTGCTTTACATATTCGTTGCTTACGATTTCACGCACTTGGTTCATTCATAATATTCACCGCAGACACAGACACTTCCTTGCAACGCTTTGCGTGCTTCGCATTCGAATATCAGACGTGAAATGTTGATGTTTTATTGAGCTCTGTGCTTCGTTAGATGTCAGTGTTCTGTGTGGCGAGCCGTTTTATAGGGCATTCATGAAGTTCTGTTTGAGCCTCGTGTAAGCCGACCAATAAGGACGAGCAATTTGACCGACGACTGAAGGCCGTTACAGCCAGTTTTCGTGGAATTCTGTCTAGAGTTACGCTTCTATTTTCACACATCTAGCAAGGGAAATAAAACAATTTCTTTCTCGGACGGAACTTCGTAAAGTTCGCGCCAAATTGTGTGAATGAGCGGGAAGAGTTGTGTCATTGTTTTATCTGGACACCCGACTCTTGAATCTGTTTTAGCAGATAAATCCCGAACACAAGCCCGTCACATTTGCAATGTTCACTTGGCTCAATGGTCTTTCTGTGCTTATTAAGACGTGTCCATTGGCACACGGGGGTGGGGTGGGGGTAAAACTGCATAATTAAGAGCTCCGTAACTTATTAGGATGGTCACATCAGGGTGGATGAGATGGGCAAGGCAAGTACCAGTCATAGGGGACACGTGTAGTGAGTAAAATATTTTGATAAAATTATGATGTGAAGGACTGAGGGAAGAGGCCGCTTAGAAGAGAAAGGCTTCTGTGGTAGGATAATATTAAAATGGATCTTGGGAGAGTAGGGCTGGAGGGTGCAGATTGAATTCATCTGTGCCAGGGGATAGGCCGACCCGTACCCAATATCGCATTGTCGAATCCCATTCTATGCCAGTAGAATCCAATCCAAACCTTCGCCTTCCATGTTATATGTTCAGAAGAGAGAGCGAGTCGTTGGTGTGAGTTCAGAGCGCGCGGGCAGCGAAGTGGACCCGAACAATGATCTCTCGTAATAAAAGAAGCTTTTTCTGCTCTCGAGCTATGCGAGTCTTGAACGCTATATAATTCTGCGTCATAAAACTGAGACATGCTCGCGTCGTGTTCAAACTGTGATTGCGATCGCCCCACCGACCGCCTCGTATAGGAACTCGCAGCTGCAAACGCGTAATTAGAAACACACGTGCTCTGCGTTTGTCTTCTGTTTTACAAGGCAATTCTGGCTCCAGTGCGAGGACTATTTTTTCATTGCAAGATGCATCTTAAAATAGAGCTTCAGCTTTAGGATGGGATAGAACCGGCTGTGGACGAAGTGCAGTGAAAGCTGTTTTCCGTAAGAAGCGACGAATTTCTGGGGTGGGTGAGCGGACACACGTCTCTGGAGGAACCCTGCTCCATGCGAGTAGCTCGAGTGATTCATTCGCCTGGAATGAAGTTGTTTCAGTAAAAGCTTCGGGCTTTCGGTTACTGCCGGTTCGTGTTAGTTGTTTGAAACAGTTCGGTGTTGTTCGTCGGCTGTTTGTTCGAAGATGGCCGAAGCTTCGCTCGTTGTAAGTTGTGCGACAGACTTCCGCCGACTTTTGTTTTAGCTCAGTCCGTCGGTGTGTGTGTGTGTGTGTGGAGGTTGGCAGCTCCAGCACATTAATGGCTACACAACTTAATGGTGCATTTTTGCGTGCATTTTTGCACATAATGGTAATTTCTATAGATTCTCACTTTGTTAAATGTCAGGTGCGACCTCAAAAGTTTCTTCACGGCACTTTTAATTGCCAAGCTGTAAAATAACGTGGATTGTGTTCTGGGTTATGACGTCACGCAGCATTGTAGGTTACAGGCGTGTACACCCTGAAGAGGAAGGCGATGCTTTCTCAGAAATGTTGGTTACGAAGACTGCGCGGCGTCGAGACGAAGAGACCCCGGGCGCCTTGACGTGTCTCGCAGGCTCTGTTCAAGCGGCGTTCTGAGGCGTGAGAAGGTTTTACTCGGTCGGAAGTGCTTATGGTCCGGGCCGGACGACCGGTGTTACACCCGGGCAGGACGGGACTTTTGTCCTCGGCAGAACGCCCACGCAGGGTTCGGGAATCTTTCACCGGGGTTCATAATGCGTGGAGCTGTACCTACGTATTTTTACGCGGCGTGGTGCGTAATTAAACGCCAGGGACAACTTTACCCTTGTACGCCGCCCCGTATCTGAATATCGTACATGCAAAGTTTCATTGCAGTTGAAATTATCAATTATATGGTAATAATAATAATAATAATAATGGTAATTTGTATTTGATCAGTTTTTAATTTCTTTCAGATTCCTGCGTCCCTGCCATGCGCGAACAGCAGTACTGCAAAGGACACGGTAAGTGCACACGCCCTTAAGCAGAGTGGCGCATTTTGGAATTTGGATGCGAACATTTGTTCTAGTAAAAGCGTTGTTCGCAACCGCGTTTGTGTGTTGAGTTCGGGCCTTCATTGTTCTTGTCTGTCCTTTTATCGTTTTGTTTTGGGACTGTGGCCCGACTGTTTCGCCTCTTACTTCAGAGGGACGCTTCAGCGTGATTATTACAGAATCCTGCGCAGTGCAACGAGAAACGCGAGTCGGAGATAAGAAATATTGCACAATTTTTATGCTGAAACCTAAATAGAAAGCTGTTACACAGAGGACTGAGTAGCGCCTCAGACGACCTGGCAACAGAAGTGGGAGGGGAACTGCGCTCGTCTGTCACAGGCTGAGAGACTGAGATTTAACCTCCGGATTTTCTTACGAAAAAGCAAGGTGCGTCCAGCGCACGCGGTGTGATAGTGTGTTCGGGCATGTCATCAGCACCTGGAAATTGGTAGATATCTTTACAACGCTTTCACCAGTACGAAGCAATCGTCATTTGCCAACTGCGTTCGAAACTTATACTCCATCATAAATTAACCTTAATTTTCAACAAGTCATTCAGTACGACTTCGTTCTCCTTCAAACGCGGTTTACGTAATTGTTTGTTATCCAGGGGGCAGCATCGGCGCCGCTCGTGGCTTGGGACTGCCAGTTGTGCGCTCTGGATGACGGCAGGACTCGTTCCTCCACGCACGCGTGCGCAGAAAAGGATGTCAGCTGATCCCACACACGACATTCGTGCCATCAGTTAACATGTGCCGGAAAGAGTTTCAGGGTAATTTTCTCGAGAAAACAAGCCGGCTGAATCCAACTGCTCAGAGGCAAAAGGAGGGACGGAATGAATAAAAGAGACAAAACAGGAGGAGAAGGTAGAAGGAAAGAAGGAAGTTGTTTGTGGGGGGTTTAAGAAGGCACCGAAAATGCAAACGAGAACAGAGAAGAACGTGTTTGCTCGTACTTATTCTCCGCAACCAAATTTTATGCAATTCTGTTTGTTAAAGGCACGTGATCTTTTTAATTCCGAAGTGGAGGTGAGTTGAATCGTATTCCGATTATTTTAACTTCTCAGTTACACGACGTTCGATGTGCAAGAGACGCAGCCCTTCAGCCTGAACTGACCTTACTCGAGGGCGGATCGTGGCGATGCCCTGCCCTGTGTCGAGGGAGAAACCCTCTTCTCACCCTTTCACGATTTTTTTATAGATTAGAACTAAATTTAATTTAAAATTTGACCTGAGAAATGCTAATGATTCTTATAGTTCCACACAGCTCCAAGGCGAAGGGTTCGTCCTCCCTGAAATTGAGAACGTCTTGGGATTACAAAACTCAAAATTATTGCATTCATGTTAAGTTCGTAATTTTGCATTTAAAAAACAGCTGTTTTAAAGACTTTTTTCGGGTTTGGTTGGTTTGGTGAGGAGGGGGGGGTGAAGTGGGGTGGGAGTAAGTGGAACCAAGGTCATTGCTTCTGACCTGCACTGAAGCGGATCCTCTCGTTCTTTCCTTCCTCTTGGTAGCTCAGAACGACGTTTAGCGACTGTTCGCTGCGGGCAACCGGTCACTGTGTGATGCCAAATAATTGTTTCATTGCATTCGGTTTAAGCGAAGGCTCCGTCGAAGAGGCCAGAGCAACAAGTGTTGTTGGCTGGCTCCCGGTGCCATCCACTTCTTCCAAGAGCGGGGGGCAGTGACACCACCAATAATGAGAGAGAGAGACGCTTTCCAATAACATCCCCAAATAAAAAGATAACCCGTGTTTTATATCCCCGCTAAAATCATCCCTAAGAAAGATTTCTTTAAAAAGGCTTTACGGCACTCTTTCTGTTCGCATTTCTTTAAGCTCAGTGAAACCGTGGAAAAACCCACGCACCCTTGTGAATGAAGGATGTGATTTAAGTCATAAAAATAACTCGGGGAGAGACCCTCCCTAAAATGATCCTAGCTAGCCTCTTATTTCCACCCCCTGCAGGTTGGAGGGATGCTGGTGGTTTTTTTAATAGGAAGCTTCTAAAACGATAGGAACCCAGAACGTTTAGTGCATGTGTGACCTAAGTGAATTCTTTGTCATGTAGGGAATTTGTGTTTAACTTCACTGCCAATTACGAAGTCGCCCAGATATCCCCTGAGTTTGTGGAGAGCCTGTTGGACTATTTCCATGTTCCCGCAGGATATTTTGTTCAGTCCCTAACCTGGCTCCCATTTCTTCAACATCCATTTTAATATTATCCTCGCATAGATCTTACACGTGGTTATTATCTTGAGGTGTCCTAACGACGTTTGGCCATTGACTTAGGTGCGTGTAAGTGTGTCTACCTAATAGGAGCAGGGCATGCACTCAGTACTCGGCTTGATTATAGTTAGAACGAAGTCCATTTAAAACTTTTCAAGGCCGTTTCACCATGAAGGTGACTGCAAATTAACGCTGACCTCGGGCCGTGATGACGAGAGCAGATTATTGTTTATGAACTTTGCGTGCTGCTACGGGTCTTTGTAGTTAATTTAGTGCATCAAATGAAGAACTTACTGTAATGATGAGGCCGTATTTTAAAGCGTAATGGAACTCGATTTTTGGTTATGTCATTGTTCTGAATGTGAGTGCCTAGCCGAGGAACTCATCACGTAACATTTTTGTTCAAACCGATGTAAATAGAGTTAAGAGTAGTGAACTTTGACACGGGGAATATCTGAAAGACAAAATTAATTAATTATTTTCAGGCAATCAAAAAAATATTAGTGACCCGTGCAGAGACGTAAATAAATTTGAGAAGGTACCAACCTAAAATTAAAGTCGTAGAAGACGAGGTAGGTTGCATGCTCGCGGATTCCCACCGCATTTTGAACGGGCGGAACATTGTTTTCCTCAGCTACTCAATGTGCGAGGGGTTAATGGAATCAGGCACTAGCTCCTGAGGCTGAGTCCACTACTGGAAAGTTAAAAAAAAGTCGCCAGGTACCGATAAATTTTCGACAGATTCTTATGCTCTCAGCCCAACAGTTTTTTTATCGCGTCTGTGTGTTTGTATTTACATAATCTTTTCGGCTGACGAAATGTCGCACTTATAACGACAATCTTCACGCGATGCAATCTTTATTTAAACCCCGATTATAAAGGCAGTAAGTAATTTCGAAATGTCAGAAGCTTCTTTCGAGTGCTCTGTTTTTTTGGAGGCTATTTTGAATCGGTCTTATGTCTCATTAGTCGGTTTCAATTTAAAGTTTCACAAGATACTTGCTCGTAGCCATTAGTTCATTAAGAGCACTGCGCAATTACTGATGAGAGCTTGTTAATACGCCCACGACACCTTCATCAACGAATAGTACACGAATGTTCCTTGTAAGTCATTACATGCCCTTCGTGGATCAGACCACAGCTTCTTCCGACTTCTCATCCGTCGTCTGATTGGCCGGCCGGCCTCCCACGTGTCTGCACCCCTCTGAAAGTTTCTTAAGGCCTAACATTTTGTCCGTGTTAACCCAAAGTTGCGTTGTGGCGAATGCCATCACGTGGACCCTTTCCCTGTGCTTACTGGTTGTCTGATTATCCCGACAATGAAGTTCATAAGGAATTTCACTTAGAAGACAGTTGAGTTGTGAAAATATGATGGAAGTTAAATCATTATTTTGTACGCGACTTGATATTTTTCTTAAACACGGTTACTTGCTGATTTATGATCATAGATCGGTGTTTAATAAACAGTTTGTGGGTTTTTCCGTGATTATCGTCAGAGTAAATTCTGTTTTCATAACCGTGGGCCTAGCGGTTCGTTAGTTATCGCTGTCAAACTGAAAGTCAAATATAATCTTTGCACCACAGCCGTGTCGTTGTGGTACATTCTACAGAGAAGTTACGTCAACAAAGCTTCGTATTTTTCAACTGTCCATTTCGTTGACCCTAAAACTTTGTTGGTATTAATGACTGTGAGAAATTAAGGAGTACAGTCTGTGATGAGCTTTTAAGGTGCAACATTTACGCGAATGTTTCTTAAATTGACCGAAAGGCCGTGGACACATGCTCACCGTAAGTCTACAGTATTTCCTCACGAAAGTAACGCTTGTTCTAAAGGGCCACGATCTTACAAATAGGGCATGTCCGTGACATTTCCTCTTAATGGGCGGTGTACCGTACTTGGTTCGTGCATAATTGCGGGTTACCCGATGACGGTGCCAAGTGTGTTCATATTTCCGGCAGCGGATCTGTTGGTCCGTTAAAGCAAAATAATCTAAATTGTTCTCATGGTTACGGAGTGTGTACTTTTTCACGATCTCCTTGTAAGACACTTGTGAGGGAGGGAAAATTATTCCCACAAGAAGCTAGCTGTTTTTTCGACCTCGTGATGTTCTAGCTGTAACCTCGAAACTCAACTCAGCTGCATCCCATTGTATTGGGCAATTAATTCTCCGTCCGAGACTCGGTAGGGCCATGTACCACTCTTACTCTCAGAAACCAGCACATGGGGTGGGAGTTCCCCCTGTATTACTGTTGGGTGACCTTGACTCTTGACCGCCTGCCTACTTGTTGATTATAGTTTTTACTATAGAATATGGCCAGCCTCCTGACTCTCGTGTAATGTGAAGTGAGTCCCTGAACCGAAGTGAGGAGCAGCTTTCAACGCGCTCGGCTTCCCTGCACGTCTCCGAACGGTTTCTGTTTGAAGGGAAATTTGTGGGGACTCAGCCTCGCCCTGTGCTCAACAACTTTGCGTCTGTCTTTTTTTATTTTCTGTTCGTGTGGTAGTGTGATTTCCGTTGACATTTGAACGGGAAGTTACCTGATTTGTTGTATTAAGATATGTCCGTATTGATCACATTTGCTCAAAAATTGTGAAACATTTTAAATGTAAGGCACCTTCTGTGCCTCAGTTGTTTGTGCAAATTTCCGATTCTTCCCGGCTCCGGAGCAAACAGTTGCCTCTTTCACGGAGAACGCTTTCAGTTTGCAGCAGAGAGCAAAATCGTTACGTGCCTCACTTTCG